AACCAATGCTAATGTATGAAATTATTCGTCTACGCTGTACAAAGCAAAGCGTGTAACAAATTCAGACCATGAGTTCTCGTCAGTGAGACAACCCATCAAGGCGGATTCAGAACAGAAGCAATTGCGGATCTTATTGTATAGGCACTTTGCCCACTCGTGTCTTGGGCGCCCGGGCGCCCGCGCGCACAGGTCAGTGACCGGCTTTACACTATCTGGTTGAAAAGTCAACCTCCTCAGCACATCTTCACCATTTGCTCGTCCTATCTTCCCAAACCATACCAATTGATGCTTTAGCAATTGAGAACTGTATGGCTGCACCCCCGCTTTTTCCAAAACGGTTCTATTGGAAATTCGTGAAATGTAAGAGTGGGGTATATTGAGAATTTGCCGTAGACAGCGCGCTTGGAATCCATCCAGTCTCCTCCTTTCTTGTTTGTTCAGCCAAGCTGAATTTAAAGAATACATGACTTTGCTTGTTATGAGCGCCCCGAACAATTGGAGCTTTCTTCGCGTACTGACTGCGGTGTGCTTCCATGCTCTCGCGTATCTTTGAAATTCCCCCCATGCGGCCCCCAATCTCTTGCTTAATTCGTGCTTGAGTTTCCCATCGCTGTAAATAGAAGCACCCAGATATTGCATTTTCCCACTTGCATGATGATATTGCCATTTGGGTCTCGCAAGCTGATATCGCATCCAGTTTGAAGCAATTGGAATTTGTTCCAATGTAGTTCCATGCCAATTTCTGCACCGGCTTCCGCGATCGCGTCCAAGACGTGCTGCAAGTAAGTCTCGTGTTTACCAACCAGAAGGGTATCATCGGCATACAGAAGAATTGATGTTTCTCCATCCCTCAATGATCGGAGTGCGTCTTCTCCCAACTTGTCCTCTGCGCGCTTGATTACGACACTCATGACCATCACAAACAGGAAGGGGGAGAGTGGGCATCCTTGGGCTATGCCAGACAGTTGGTTCCGCACCTGGGATCTCTTCGAACCCTCTGCCACGCAAAAGTTTCTGTTTTCATATATACTGCCAATGATGCTAACCATATTGTCGGGCACACCAAATTTCCCCAAAGCTTCCAAAAGAGCTAAAACGTTAATAGAATCAAACGCCTTTTTCCAATCCAGGGCCAACAGAGCAATTTTCCCATCTCGCTGTGCATGCGCAATTTCAACATGCCGGCGCACTGCGTGCACAGCATCAGACGTACCCCGTTTTCTTCTGAAGCCAAATTGGGTTGATGTTAACCGTTCTTCTGCACCTGCGTGTTGAAGTTTTCCCAATAGCAAACTTGCAAGTAATTTGTACATAACACATAACAAACTGATGGGGCGGTAGTTGTCGCATTGATCGACGGGGCCTTTGTTTTTGTATATTGTTGATACACGAGCATGTCGCCATTCAGACGGTATTTGCTTCGCTTTCCAGCATGTATTCACCATTGTTGCAATCCATTGCAATCCTTGTGGGTCGAGCGCCAAAGCTTTCCAGTATTCAGCTGGGATGTCATCAGGTCCGCTGGCTTTTCGACGTTTCAACTTCGATATTGCCTTTCCCACTTCTTGAACGTCAAATCCATCGTCAGGGATATGTAGAGGAGGTCCCAGGGAGCCCGTGTCCACGAGAGTCGCCGGACGCACTTTCCATTGGACCTTCTCCAAGAACTCAGCCATTGTATCTGCTTTTTCTTCGCTGTCCACTAATTCGCCTTTCAAGTTGCGGAGCCTCCCTTGTTTGTGCGGCTTTGGCCGGCATGCCTTCTTTAAGGCATCCCACTCCCCAGCGCCGATTGTAGCATCAACCCAAGCAGTCTTATTTTGCTTAACAGATTTCCGCACTTCTTTCAACAGTGGTGATAAAAGAACGCGGAACAGGCGAGAGAAGTTGGATAACTAGAGCAACGATCCGGAGACGTCTGCCTCCTCCTCCTCCTCCTCATCCTGCTCATCCTCCTCCTCCTCCTCTTCCTCGCTCCTCCCTCCTCTGCACGCCTCCAGGAGGGGGGCAGCGCCGGAAAGCGGATGGGGGACTAGAGGAACAGGACGGGGAGGGATCCCCACCTTCCTCCTCGGATCTCCGACGCCGTGATCTCCTCGCGCCGCGACCTTCTGGAATCTCGACCCCGTCCCCAGGACAGACGTTCCAGCCGCTCGGGACAGGCCCCCAACCAGCGCGTGCACTGCTGTGATCTTGCTTGGGCTCTGACGACCTGGTCTTTCTTGCCGCGGTGGGCCCCTCGCGCGCTGGCTCCCTGTGGGGCCCCGCGGCTGGCTTCCTGCGGCCGGTGCCCTGCGGCGCCCTGTGCTTGGCGCTTCGTGGTGCCCTGCTGCCGGCGCCGCTCCTCCAGGGGTCGCCCGGCTCCATTCCCAGGGAGCCCGCCAGGGCGGGGGAGGGCTCCAACCTGTCGCGGTAGCCCCGACTGGTCCAGTGGGCCCGTCCGTCACCCTCCCAGGAGGTGTGCAGTCGAGACTGAGTAGTAGGTCGACCCTGCCAGCGATGAGGTCCTCGGAAGGGTCTTGCGACCTCTCGCGTGTCCTCTCCAATCAACCCCGACTGTACAGCCAAGACGCTGAAATAAGAACCACTTTGAGTTCGGAAGGTGATCGGGGATTGGGGTCGTGTCTTAGATTTATGTCGCGGGATTTGCGTGTGGCCTAGGCCCACCGTGGCCAGAAAAGCCCCTCTGTTCCTAATTTGGCGTTCCTTCTGATAGTACCTCGACTGTAGTCTCCCCGCCCTGCCTGGTTCGGGACCTTCCAGGGGAGTGCGCCCACGAGCAGAGTGCACATCGGGAGCGTAGGAGCCTGCCGCCGCGGGCCTGCGCTCTGGCACCAAGGCTTGACTCCGAGGGCGCTCGTCTGGCGACGCGGCGAGAGCCAAAGCACGTCCGTCGTGCTTTGTTCGCCCGCGACGCCCAGAGGTCTGGGCCCTCCTCCTCCCCTCCTCCTCCTCCTCCTCCTCCTCCTCCTCCTCCTCCTCCTCGCATCCCGTCCGAGCCTTTGGGGCCGAAGAGGGGTCGGCTTGGCCCCTTCTCCCCTGGAGGGGGGGTCCACGCGGGGATTGAGCCCCCGCCAGGCGGGGACCTAGAGAGGATCCAGCCTGAGCCCGGAGCCCGGATTCCTGGTTGTTGGGGCTTGCGCAGACTTGGACGCGCACCTCCTGTCTGATGGTGGTAGTGACGTCCTTGCAGTGCAGGATCGGTGCCAGTCGAGCGACTTGCGAATCGCGCATCGCGCTGCAACTTACGTGCCCTTTTCCAGAGTAGCATTGGGGGCGCGGCGGGGGCGGTCACAACGAGTGAAACGGTGCATGACTTCGTCCATCATCAGCAGCTCGCATGAAGAATTCTGAGGGAGGGGTCCTGAGGCCTTCGTCGATTTCGGCCCTTGGGGGCCCGTCTTGACTCAGGCCCCCCGTCAGAGAAGAACCCAGAATGAACAGGCGGTCCCTGGGGAAGCCTCGAGGGGCCAGGATTGCTGTCGGGCGGGGCTATGATCAGGATGCATCGTTCCAGAGCGGTTCAGAACGCACTCAGAGCGTTCCAGAGCGCTCCTGGACGGCCGCGGCGCCCCACACATCCTCCAGATCCGCCAGATCTCAGTGATCCGGAATTTGTCCTGGTCCGATTTTGTTCCAGTCCTGGCCTCGCCTCTTGGGGTGCAACTCCTGGGATGTCAAATTCAGAATCGGCTGGTCCAAGGGTCCAAGACGTGTCTAATCTGGCTGAATCCCGGCGAATCTGGCTCAATCCCGTTTCATCTGGTTGATTCTAATGTTGCCTATATCCAGCTGAGTGCTGAATCCGGAGTAGTGGCCCCTGAGCAGTTGATCGTTCTGACGGATACCTCCCAGAAGTCGCCTCCCAGCCGTGAGCCCACGAATGGGGGGAGGAGTGCGGCTGGCGCGCCGTGGGGCAGGGGATGCCCCGCGCGCCCGCCCAGCTGTACAGCCACAGCCCGGACGCCTTGCCCGAGCTGCTGGCGGCAGCACCGGCGTCGTCCTCGCCCAGGCCTCGCGCTCCCCTGTTCAGGGGCATCGATGGGGGGGGGATAGTTAGGCATAGGGGGTGATGCATCGGCATCCAATCGCCCAGTGATCGTCGATAGGGGCTGATAGCCCCCTTCCCTCCCAGGACAGTGCGGATTTGCTATCGGGGGCCTATCGCCAATATTATGTGTACGATACAGTGTCGATTCCATGTCGATGTCCCCCTTCCTATGCCAGTCCGCCCTTATCGTTGCCTCTCCCCTGCTCGTCTCGGCGTCCAAGTGGTGTCCGAGTAGATATGGTCGGAGTATCGCGCCGCATCGCCGATGCGTCGGCGCTGCGGCTGGTTGTGGATTCCGAGTTTCTCCACATTGGCGTCGCGGATACATCGCCGACGTCGGCGAAGCATCGCCAATGCATCGGCGATGCGGCACGATCTTCCGACCCCATCTACGCGGACCACACCTGGGAAGCCTCTATTTGTCCCCGTTTGCAAGAGAGAGGGCGATGGAAGGGGCATGACCATTATACTGCGATCCGGGCGTTGCGATTTCTTTCGCAATGGGCGATTCCCCCTAGTTTCGGGCCCTGGGTCCATCACAGACTGATCCAGCCCGCAAAGTGCGACAGAAAGCCTGGGTCTAGGTTTCCAGTCGTGACTCGCGCTTTGCGCTTCGCGGTTCGGCTCCGACTCCTCCTCATTTTCTACGACAAACCCTCACAACAATTCAACAAGGATAAACAAATCCATATGTACAAACCTGCGCGGAACATCTCCTGCCAGCCCGGCTGGCTGGCCGAAGATTTGCTCTATGCTGTAGCCTCTATTGGAAGATCTGGACGGTACGGCTGTTCACGATGTCGTTTGGCAGCCGTTTGAACACGCGTATCATGCCAAATATGGACCGTCGCAGAATAGCCGGGTGACCAGGCTCGATCGGATCAAACAGCGCTTTGTCGTGAAATCTCCGAGCTGCTGCGAAACCAAAAGATTCCAGATGGCCATCGGCTGGACGGAACAACGCCGAAAGAGAAGGGGGAGCAAGGCCCGCAGCAACTTTGTATAGCAACCCCAGTACAGCAATATCTCGACGCATACCCAACGGAGCAAGATTATGATGTCGCACAGCGGACTTTGCCGATAAGCCAACCTCGTCTAAGAACAGAGACTGGATATCGTCAAACTGCTTCAGTGTGTTCTGTTTGGCGTGGTAGACAGCTGGAGTGGGGCCCTCGAGGTAGCACAAGACGTGGCATTTGTGTAATCTGACCATCTCTTTGACGCTATAGAAACGCCTTGTCCGGAGGAGTGCTCTGAGGCGCCAGCTGGCTTCTGTGGCAAAGTGCTGCACCGCTACATGCATTTCCAGTCGTGGATAAAACATAACACTGAGTATTTTGAAGGGCCCGCCATACGGGGACTTCGTGTCTAGGATTTGCACGATCTCTTTCGACGGCTCGAACAGTACCTGATTTGCAGACCCCCACGAATGCAATGCAGACTGGCATGTGCGAACTTGTTCTAGCACCGTGCGGTCGCCGGTGGTGCCGCTGACCACGCGCCAGCAATTCAAATCGTCAGCAAATACCGCCTCCAGGAAACCCAAAACTGATATGACCTCTCTCGCGTCAGAATAGTACACGTTCCACAAGGGCGGACCAAACACGGTCCCCTGGAAGACTAAGTCCTTAAGCTCGAAAGGTTCTGAGAGCACGCCGTCAACGACGATATGAGCTGTTCTGGGCGCAAGCCAAGAAGATAAGACCTTCAAGAACGCGTCGTCTACACCTTTCGCTTTGAGCTTCTCCAACAACCGTGCGGCACGTACTCGGTCGAAGGCGCCTGAAACATCTGAGCAATATAAACCAACGCGCTTGCCACGACCAATTTCCCAAATCCAACTGCAGACAGCGAAGGCGAGCGCATCCTTGTATCCGCGACCCCTGTGATACGCGAACTGGTTCTGGCCATATGCCCCCGTGGCCTCAAAAAACGGCAAGAGGAAGCCAGCGAACACCTTCTCCACTGATTTCGCGATGTGCGAAGTTAAATTAATGCCTCTGTAGTTGCCTGGCTGCGACCGGCTGCTTCTCTTGAACAATGGGAACAACCAGTGAACTTTCCAAGAGGCGGACCAGTCCCCATTTTGCAAGATCAGGCGAATAATGAATGCTATAAGGAGCGCAAGCTCACGGGCACACCGCTTTAGGAGGCGAGCTGATATGGCATCTGGGCCAGTACCGGAATCTTCTCGTAATCTTCGAAGCACTCGACAAATTGTTCGTACGCGAACGGGTGCAAAGTTTGCATAAGTTGATTTTGAAGTTGCCCTGCATTCGTAGTTTCATGTTCGACTGCGGCTGGCAATCCAAATTTCGAACTGAAGCACGTCATGAATAAATCGGCTTTGCTTTTTGGGGAGGTTGCCCAACCACCTGAGGAATCCAGCAGAGGAGGGATCGATGAACACGTGCACTGGCCAGCCCGGAGCAACAACGAATTGCACAACGTCCACCACTTCTTCGAAGAGGGTTTCAATTCAAGAATGCGCTGCCGAGTGCGGACCACGTACTTCGTGTACTCGTCCCGGAGACCGTCCGATCATAGCTTCTGTTTGTGCGCGTACTCAACGGTGCCAATCGCCTGGGTCCTCTGGTCAGTCAGTCTCCGGCATCTGTCATTCAACTAAGGGTGGGATGACTTTCGAAAGGATGTCCGGTGCCTCGGAATATACATCTTTGCTGTATCTGTCAGGCACTCAGAAAACTTCGCTGCAGCAGCCTCGGCGTCGCAACCACGAAACAAATCCCGCCAATCAGTAGAAGAGAAAGCGTTGCATAAGCCACTCAGACAGCGGCGCTGAAATGCCAATGCTCTCGCACGACCGGCTCCGAGAGAGATACGTGCTGAGCAACGCGAGAAAGCACAATTTTGTGGTCGTTGATTTCCGGCAGAACCTTGCAAGTAACACCAGATAAGAAATCCGTGAGAACAAGATCCAACAAATAAGCTCCACGAGTAGGTTGCCCCACTTTCTCCGTCAGACCCATTCTGCCGCAAATGTTCTGCAGCTCCTTCCCCTCAATTGCGTTGCTGTGCGAGTATCGCAGCCACCGCTGGTTGTGCGCATTCATATCCCCCACAATGATGGTAGCCATCGCCATGTGGCGCAAGGACTCCCACTCAGACTCCAAAGTGCGAACAGAAGCAACTTCACCACGACAAGGGGGGCGGTACCAAACAGCGAACAATAGTGGTCCTTGACTCGTGTGAATGATATGCCAAGCGCGTTCAAATTCAGAAGAATCCAAGACGTGCACGATACTGGAAGCAAAATATTCTGTCGCCAGCAACAGTGTGCCTCCTCCTTTCCTCCCATCGTGCCGGTCCAGCCTGGATACCTGCACGTAGCCATCAACATAAGCATTGCGAATAGAAGGGTCCAAAAAAGTTTCGGTAATGGCAAGTACATCTGGAAACCCAGCTTGCTCCACTCGGTGGTACAATTCAGCACTATCAGGAACGAAACCACGCAAGTTGACATGCATAGTGGTGAAGCTGACATCCGGGACTGGCGACTCAAACTCGGATTTCCGCGAGCTGTCGCCCAGAGGGCGCTGGGGACCCAAATGGGCATTCCACAGGCGGCGCCTGCGCAAGAGAGCATCATGAGAACGAGGACCGCGGCGACGAGCACGTCGGGTCTCCAACTGGTGGGGCCGCTCCTCTGCCACAGAGTGGCGGGCGGGCCAGATAACGTGACGCTTGAACGGGTACGTGTTATGATGAAGAGCGGCCCCAAGCCACCCCTACGGGATGTAGAGCTGGGTAAAAGGAGGTAGGAAGGTGCCAATCGCGTCGTCCTGGCACTGCTTGAAAGCAACCTCCTTGTTCACGATGACGTGCCGCTCCCTGGAGCCCTCCACCTTCCACGAAATCTCAACGTTCTTGCCGGAGGCATCGCCAGTCTCCTTAATCAAGTTCTCGGCCGCCCGCAAGGCGTAGTTGCGTTTCTTCTGGATCTTCGTGCGTGCGGGCTTCACCAAGAGCGCCTTGCCCTCGATGTTCAACTCAGTCTTGGAAGCTTGGACGCGGGACAGGAAAGATTTAGCGGTGTCAGGGCTGCAGAATTCGACCCACGATCCCTTAGACAATTTCTGGTTGTTGTAGGGTCCGGTGAAGTCGCTCCCAAAACCAATTGGGCGGAAAGAAGAAACATGTGATTTCACAAAGTTCTCCATCTCCTGGATCCTGGTGTTCTCTGAGACCCCGTCCGGCCAGCCAACGAAAGCAATGCGACGGATCGCAGGATCAAGACGGTTCACGGTGTTCAGAAGGTCTTTGAAAGCCAGAGCAGATGAGGAAGGAGACGAGGCCGGAGGAGGATTCTTCTCGATGTTGGTCATGCGGACCTCGAGCTCGTGGATACGATCCTGGATGGGGTCCACGGCCTCCGATACCTTGGTCTTGATCTCCTTCTTAAGGTCGGTCGAAAGCTCATCGAGGTCGCTCTTTAGGGCCATATTGTCCATCTTGTCGGACAAGGCAGTTATGGCCTGCAGGATCTCCAAGTGGCCATCGCTGCTCGAAGCCGCCCCAGGAGAACTGGATGCAGCTGCTACCTTTTCGGCCATACGTTTAATCTTGTCGAGCTTGGCCTTTTCAGGGGACTGCGACGGGCCTCGCTTACCTGCCTTGGCGAAGGAATCCATAAGGTTCTTCTTTCCCTCCTCCATCGTAGAGTCGAAATGCGGTGCCACTGGGAAGGCTTGTGCCACTGGGAAGGCTTGTGCCACTGGGAAGGCTTCTCCTCCCCTGGGAGGCCGCGCGAGAGCACGAAGTCATTCGCGCTTCGCGCAGCGCGCAGCGCGAAGCTGGGAGCCCTTGTATGTTTTTCGTGGTGTCGGATCTCAGGGTGCGACAGCGACGACAGTAAATGGCGTTGAATTGTGGGAGTGATCAGGGGGCCAGGGAGGGCAGGGAAGGCGGAGGAGGAGGATCAGGAGGGGGAAGAGACACGCAGACACAATTCAGCGTCGATCCCCAGGAAAGTATGGGCAAATGTGGGAAGTGGGGGGGAAGACAAACACCCAGAACATATGGGAAAATATGGGGAATCCTGCTATTTGTGTGTATTTGTTTGTGTGTCCCAGGGCCCCTTCAGAGAAGGAGGAAGAGCATGAGTGCAGTGGAGAGCGGGGGGGGGGTGCGGGAGGGGAGACGGGATCAGCAGGCGCAGGAGTCTTGGTTCCGGTGTTGGCAACAGCGCGGCGTCGAATGTCTGGACGGGTCGCTCGACACTCGAGTAACCCAGCACGCAGAGGGAAAATATGCATTGTTTTGCCGATCGGCGCGGGCCCTCGCACCTCCCCCTCTCCGCTCCCATGGAGTTGGTCTTGGCTGTTTTTGTCGCCTGTTCAAGCAGGTGGAGTCTCCCCCATAGGACGCACTCTTGCAAACAGTCGCACTGAGCAGAGGTCTGGAGCCAGACCCCCCCCCCTCCCCCCCCCTTTCCGCCCTCTGTCGAAACGCCGAATAAAAGGGGCCAGACGGAACCCGAAATATTTTCCACGACTTCCTCCTTCATGTTTCTACCTGCATCTTCCGACCGATGGGTATACAAATACTCCTCCTTCTGGAAGGACTGGTGGCACCTCCTGCACTTGCAGAGAGCAGTCCACTCCAAGACATCACGACCTGCGGTGTACAATCTCGTTCAGCGGGTCTGCATGTAGGTGGCTCTTGAGAGCTTCCTTACCCCAGCGAGCCCTTCACCCGTGGTCAGGGTCATTGCTGCACACTCAAGATAATAAGCCGGCAGACGCAACCTAATATTCCTGCAGCGTATCGGCCTGGGTGACCCTCTGAACTTCTTCGGGAGCGACCTGACCCCTACGAGCATCTCCATTAGCACACCTGTCTGCAGCTCGGTTCAAACTGAGCTTGAATGTCGACAGTTGCATGATTGGCATCTGGTCCTGGGTCGGGCGACAGTTTGTCCATCTAATGTCCACCTAGCGAATGCGCGTCCCAAGCCGATCCAAGATGTAGGTCCAATCATCCAGCATGAAGCTCTGCTTACTCATAATGTGCTTCAGGATCCGTTTGAACTTCGAACCACAGACATGTATTTGCTGAAAGTCAGCACAGCGCCCTCGACTATGGTCAGCGCGACCCCGATCACTAACAGCTCGAACCGCGGGCAGCTCTGGAGGATGGTGGGGCGACTACGTACCGAAGACACCGCCAACATTGTCAGTCTCGTCCGGAAGCAGTACGCCATATCCCCGTCAACGCCTCCTTGACCTCCAGTTCTTCGTGGCGTTCCCCCCTCCACCCGATCCGCCGATGCCCCCCCCCACCCACACACACACACACATCGTTGGATCACGGTAGCCGCCTGGAGTGCTCTAAAGAGCCGTTGATCACCTTACAGCCTGATCCAGTGGCATCAACACCCTAAGTCAGATGGCGGGGAGGGAACCTTGCTCAGCGATTGCCAAAGGCCAATCTAGCTGTGCCCGGGTCTTTGTGTTTGTCGTGGTCGTGGAGACCCCAGGCCACCTCGCGTTCATGGAGGCACGGCACTGGGGTTAGCGCAGCAGCTAGCAGCTGAAGGTGTTGGGCCAGAGGCGCAACCTTGGCGATCGACCTCGGCTCCGTCGTTGGCGACCGCCCCGCCAGCCTGTGGGAGCTGTTGGGGGACCCAGCTGCCGCAAGAGGCAGAGGAACTCAATTGTGCCTCGTCAGGGTTGTCGAGGCCATTGCCGAGCCCGGACGGGTCGTTCTCGTTCGCGTGGTCGTGGAAGGCCACAGTTTCCTCGCCGTGCTCTCTCGCCATGGCTATGGAGTCCGTGGAGGGGGATGCTTCTGAGTGGTGGGCCAGTCTCCCTGTCCCGCCCAAGGAGGCATCGCGGCGTGTCGCTGTCCAGGCGCCCAGAAACAATTGTCATCTTGGTGCGTTTGACTCGGATGCACGTTGGAAGGGTACAAGTCGAAACCATCTACGGCCACCACAGCCCCGAAGGTGGCCAGGAAAACCAACAGCTGCATAACCTTCCCCGTGTCATGAGCAGAACCATTGGCGGTGTCTTACGCTGGCATGGCGGCGAGCCTGCGGAGCTGTGCGGTGTGTCGCGACTGCTTGGTTTTGCACACATGGCAGTACGACCCAACGCAACCTGCTGTTATCAGAAGCCCGAAGGTGCCCAGAAGTGCAAGGCACATCGGCTGCAATGCGTAAAGCATCCCCAGGATATGAGCAGAGCCTCCCGTGCTGGATACTGGGAGCAGCGGCGGAGTGGAAAGAGTGACCGCGGCGTGGACCTGGTAGCAGTGGCCTGCGGTCGTGGGCCGCGTCCTTGTTGCGAGGCGCCTCTGCTCTCTGGGCGCCGCTCCAGCGCGGCGCGTCACTGGGCTGGGCATCGCCATCGCGGCGTGAGCTGATGCTCCGTGGACCTATGCGGGGGTCAAGGGCAAGCGGTGCGATCGTCGTGGCCGCCCTCGTGCATGTGGTCGTGGTCAGGTCGCTGGGCGTCAGCGACCTGACCACGACCACAAAAAAAAGTCAGCGACTGATGGGCGCGAGCGACTGCTGGGAGGGCTTGACCTGGTCGATGTCCATGGAGGACTCGCCAGGGGACCCCATCGCGCCCAGGGCAGCGCTGGCCAGAGGTTGGACGAGTATGTGTTGGGCGGGAGCAGATACCCGCGGAGGCATCGCCCGGGGGCTTCTCCGTGCCTGGGGCAGCACAGCAATGACATTGTTGGCGAGGCGTGGTCAGCCAGCGTGCTCCCTCGTGGCCGTGGAGGCCATGGTCGCGTGGACCGTGGTCCTTCCCTGGAGTCCGCCTGGTCCTCCGTGGAGGCCTGCCGGTCCTTCTTGTGGAGTCCTTCGGGCCGTGCCTGGCGTCCTTCCTGGGCTCCGAGGGGAGGGAGCGGGACGCATGGCGCGGCGGCCTGCCACGGCAGCGCGGCCGCGGTGCGGGAAGGTGGGCAGAGGGAGGGAACCCCGTCCGTGGGCCACGGATCGAAGCGACCGTCCCGTCTCGCCAGGCTGGTTAGCCCGGGCCAGGGGCCACAGCTGGAGAGGGAGAGAAGGGGGGAGAAGTGGAGAGAGGGAGAGGGAGGGAGAGAGCGAGGGAGACAGAGAGAGAGAGAGGGAGAGATGGAGAGGAGGAAGGAGAGCGATAAGGAGATAGAGAGCGAGCGAGCAAGCAGAAAAAGGAGGAACAGAAGGAGGAGGAGGAGGAGGAGGAGGAGGAGGAGGAGAGGATGAGGAGCCATGGAGAGGAGGCGCCAAGAGGTGCCACGAGGTTGAACATTGTGCAGCGGAGGAGGGGTGAGCGCGTGCGGAGATGAAGGAGCAGGAGGAGGAGGAGGAGGAGGAGGAGGAGGAGGAGGAGGTGGGCGCAGGGAGGGGAGCTGGAGGCGGACCCTGATGCTGCGATCCCAGCCGATCTCAGTTTGCCTCACGTCCAGAAGGAGGAGGAGGAGGCCTGGGCGGGACGCGGCGCCCTCGGGCCCGGACCCGGCCGCGACCCGCGCGGCCTCGCGCGCGGCCGCGCGCGCGAGGCACGCGCCAGAGCCCGCCCGCAGCTCGCCCTCGCCGCCGCGGCGCTGGCGGCCGGACTGGCGGCCGGGCTGGCCCGACGCGACGGTGCCTTGGCTGGACGCCTGCGGGGAGGCCGCGCGCAGCGGTGTGCCGCGTCCGCCGCCGCCGCCGTCACTCTCGTCGCTCTCGTCGCTCTCGTCGTCGTCGTCGCTTTCTCGTCGCCTTCGTCGCTCTCGTCGCCGTCGTCAGCTCCCGCGCCGGACCTCGACGCGGTTGCCTATAGCCCCCTCCCCTCCTCTCCCCATCCCCCCCGAGCCCCCCGCCGAGCAGTTCTGCTTGGCCTTGGGGGGCCCAGTCGTGTTTCTGCCGCCCTCGGGCCCGTCTTCGGGCTCCTTGCCGCCTGCCGTCGGGTCCCTCGTGGCACCGCGCCTCGTGTGGGCCTGCTGCGGTGGTCGTCCTCGCCTCGCTCCCCTCCCCCTGGGGCGCGTGCCCCCAGGCCGGCGCTTCGATCTGTTCGCTGCGCGGGCGCCAGGAGTTCTCGGCCCTTTGCCCAGACCCCCTCGAGCCATGAATCGGCGTCACCCCAACACACTTAAATACCACATGTGCGTCGCCCCCCTGGGGGCGACGCGCGCACCGAGAAATCTTGTAGTACATGTGTCGTGGCGGGCGTTTTCTGGCCACGCCGCTCGGGAAACGATCTACTACAAGACGGGTGTACTGTCTGTTCGGGTCGGACGCGCGCCTCCAAGGAGGACATAAAAGTATTAGTATGTCCCTGTGCGCCCCGATGAAAAGCTCACGCGGGAAGGTTCTTCGCCAACGTCTGGCTTCGGGGCGCCATGACCGTCGGGCGAGCGTCCGCCCGGCCGCGCACCCTGGCCCCCGCCTGGGCCGCGGGCCCTAGGCGGAGGAGGAGGAGGAGGAGGAGGAGGAGGAGGAGGAGGACCAGTGTGAAGTCAAGGTGCATCAACGATGTTGCAATTCACCCTCCCTCCAAGTTCCCTCTTCAAACGTCCCGGTAACAATTTGTGTTCATTGCGGGAAGTGCCCCAGTCGAAGATGACCGTCTGGGAATCATCAATCGCACCAAGACGCAATTCCTGGAACTTCAGTGCCGTGAGTCAACACGATTGTTGCGTCCTGACAATTGAAATTTCACTTCAACGCAGCGGATCAACGTGATTGTTGCGCTCTGACAATCTTAATCCGTGCCAGAGCACCGTTCCTGGGACTTCAACCATACGAACCCGTGAATATGTTGCAACCGTTTCGCGAATGTGTGCGGCGCTCAGGCAGTAGCAAAATTTGAAAAGGGCCCGCCCTCTATCCGTGAAGTTGCCGCAAAAAATTAAGACGAACGTGCGCGGCGCCCAGGCCACAACGCCAATTTGACAACGACCCGCCTCCGTCCTTGAAGCCCGCCGTCCATCCGTGAAGCTGATTTCAAGCTCCAGGATCAAAAATGGTGAGGAGAGCTCAGTCGACACGCCCGGCCCGCCCTACCGACACGCCTGAGGGTGTGACAGGGGGGAGTTGTTTCAAAGGAAACAGGACGGAGGAGGAGGAGGAGGAGGAGGAGGAGGAGGAGGAGGAAAGGGATGATAATGAGGAGGAAGGAGAGGGGGGAGTAGGAGGAGAAGGAGGAGGAGGAGGAGGGAGGAAGAGGAGGAGGAGCAGGAGGAGGAGGATGGAGCAGGAGGAGGACGGGAGGAGGAGATGAGGAGGAGGAGGAGGAGGAGGAGGAGGAGGAGGAGGAGGAGGGAGGAGGAGGAAACGAGGACAGGTGCAGAGGAGGGGGAGGAGGAGGGGGGAGGGGAGGAGAGGGAGGAGAGGAGAGGGAGGAGGAGGAGGAGGAGGAGGGGATGAAGCGCCCGAGCTCCCAGCCCGCAGCGAGGAGCCGCCGTCCGCCGTGGCCGCGAGGGCGCTGGGGCTGCCGTCTGGCTCCGAGGGCCAGCCCGGGACGCCCGTGTTGCCGGGCGAGAACCTGGCGGGCCCGGGGGCGGGTAGAGAGGCGAGAAGCTTGTCGGGCGGGTGCCCTCCTCCTCCATCTCCTCCTCCTCCTCCTCCTCCTCCTCCTCCTCCTCCTCCTCCTCCTCCTCTCCTCCTCCTCCTCCTCCCTCCTCCTCCTCCTCCTCCTCCTCCTCCTCCTCCTCCTCCCTCCTCCTCCTGGTGGTCGCCCGGGGTCGGCCCGGGGGCGGGGCCGGGCGAGAGGCTGGTCGGGCCCCGGGGCGGGGTCGGCCACGAGCAGGGGCACCCAAACGGTGCGGTGACCACACCGTGCGGTGAGTCGGTGGGGATTCGGGGCCATTGCACGGTTCTGGGAGTCGGGTCGTTCTCCGAGGACATCTCGGGCGACAACGGCCTCCGAGGTCCCAAGACCATGCGGTGACGGACCGTGCGGTGAGGTCTTGGGGGATTTCGAGGTCACCGCACGGTCTGTCACCGCACCGTTTCGGGACTCCCAACACGAGCAGAGGGGGGTAGGCGGGGGGGGGGGGAAAGGCTTCTTAGAAGCACCCCTGCTTCTTAGAGGGCGCGGGCCTTGTATATATATATATATATATATATGTAAACATATACATAGATACATATATTTATACTCTACACAATAGATAGATAGATCTATAGATATGTGTGTAAGGCCCGCGTCTTCTAAGAAGCGCACACGAGGCACCGAATATACAGAATACCCTTCCAACGGCAGGGCCAGATGAGGAAATGATCAGGCGTGCTCCGCTGCTAGCGCATCCCGCCCGCACAGTGGCAGAGTCAAAGTTAGCCACACGAAGAGGGGGGGTGGGGGGAAGGGGGAGGGCTTCTTAGAAGCACCCCTGCTTCTCAGAAGGTGCGGGCCTTATCTGTAGATGGAAGGGCGGCGCCTTGTAAGGAGCAGCCTCCTTCCATAATTCCCATAATATGGTGTACCACGAAGGTCGGTCTCTCTGGTTTTGTGGATCGTGCGGGTGCTATAGCCAGCTTCAGCTCCGCGGCCTGGCAGGTATCTGCTGTACCAAGGACGATCCGCCCAGACCTTTCACCAGGACGCGGCGAGATTGTCTCGACCGCACTTCGCGTGGACTATGGCTCAAGGTTCTCAGCAAGGCTGAGAAGGCGGCTCGTGGTCATCACTTTATATAGACTTGCTTCGCGATTGGTCTCACATCTTCGCATCTCGTCCCCCTCCCTCCACCCCCTTGTTCGGGCCGGACGAAAGTGGGGATAGGGAAAGGGGGGGTTAAGAAATCTGCTGCATGCAGCTGGCTTCGTCCCCACCGAGGGGTCCATTCGATACGTGGCCCTCCCCTGCGCCGGGAGGCGCCAGGAAAATCAGCTAATTACGTGAGCCGATTCTCAAGCCCCCCCTTTGCTATCCCCCCCTCTCGCCCAGCCCGACTGGTGCACACCGCCCATGGGTGGGTAGGGGAACAAAACGTGGCATAAACATAATAACTCGGAGCTCCGCGCGGATTTCTCGGATCGGCGCTGGACCCCCCTCCCTGGCGCGCGGAGCGCGCCAGGGGCGGCGCCGGAGGCGCCGCCGGGGGGGCCCCTGCGCCGATCCCAGAAATCCGCGCGGACCTCCGAGTTTTTCTGTTTCTGTCACGTTTTGTTCGGGCGCCAGCCTTGCTGTGCGCGGCCCGCTTAGCTTCGACTGGAAGAGGCTCGCTCTCGACCCGCGGATAAAAAAAAAACCAAAAAATTGTTCGGGCGCCAGCGCCCGGGCCTCCCCGGGAGGGGAGGGTGGGCTCTCATGGGGCTCGGGGTGCGGGCTTCGAGGCCGGCTTCCCGGAGATGTCTCTCTGTCGGTCGTCCCCGGGGGCCCCTCGTCGTGGCCACCGCCGGCCCCCCCCTCGAAGTTCTGGCCTCCAGTCTGGAGTCGGGCGTGTCCCCCTACAGGAGGAGAATGCAAAGATAGGAAAAAATTGTCGGGGGACGATTTTTCCTACTATGTTTGACTATTCTGGGATCTTTGTTAGGGTCTTTTATTTTTCGTCCAAAATCAGCCTGTAGGAGGACATGCCCGACGTAATTCTAGTCAGAACGCACCCGAGTAGAAGTCCAGCCCCCCGTGAGCGGTTTGGGGGCCGTCAGGGGGGCTTGTTAGGTCGCTTTGGGCGCGATCTTGCTGGCTTCTTGAGCCGTCCTGGACGCTCTGAAAACGAAAAGGGCGAATGTTCTAAACATGTGCAATCTCCGACGGCATTTAAGCAGTTTTTGCCTCTTGGGGCCTTCGTAGAGATCCTTGGGAGCCCTCTTAGAGCATCTTCGAGGCCTCTTGGACCGTCTTGAGGCTATCGCTGGTGTCTTTGAGGCTTGTTCTGCGTGTTGGAGCCCAGTTGGAGCAAGCTCAGATGGAAAATGATGCCTCTAGGATGCCACGGAGTTGGGACTTCGACGCTCCGGAGGCCTAGGGGTGCGTTGACGAGCTCGTGGCCCCGAACGGGGGGGCTCAAAGGCGATGTTTGACCTTGAGAGAGGGGGAGAGGGTGGAGGGGGCAGCAAATAATCTCACACGCATTGTCACCCCCGGCAAGAGTGGACCGGCGGATTTGCATTGCGGGAAGTAGCCCATTGGAAGGCAGCCGTCTGAGAATATTCAATCATGCCAAAACACCTTTTCTGGGACTGCAACCCGTCGAACCAACGCGACTAGAACATTCATGGGATTACAGCCGCACGATAGTTTGAGACTGCTGCAGACTTCGGGGATGAATGCGCGCGGCGCAAGAGCGAGAGCCACGTTTTGAAACCGCTGGTCCTCTATCCGCGAAACGGCTGCAAACTGTGTTTGTTAGGCGAGTGCGCGCGGCGCTAGGGCGGGAGCCGTATTTTCAAATATGGCCCTCCTGCAAAGGCCGCGACAGGTTGGTTGTCCATCTTTTATCCAGGTAGGTTCGACCTGGAAGCGGTCGCTTGCATCACTCTGTCGGCCCAAGTGTTTCACCTGCGCGGTGGGCGGATCGCGCGGTTTGGTGGTTTCATGGCCGTAGACGGATGCTGGAATGCGGCGACGAGGAGGGCGGAAGGGGAGGAGTGATGAGGAGGGGGAAGAAGGGAGAAAGGAGATATGAGGAGGGGAGGAGGGACAGAGGGAGACGAGGGATGAGGAATGAGGGAGGAGGGAGGCAGGTTAGGCCCGCTGCAGGATCTGGCGAGTGTCGTGGCGCACGCGCTGTTCCATCTCCGGGACGGATCCGGAACATATCCGACACATTTCCGGGGGTGGGCGAAATAATTTACAGAACATGTGCGAAACATCTACGTACCATCTCTGAAGGGGGCGGGAGCACTTGCAGAGCATTAGCAAAACATCTGCGTGGGGAGGACACATCGCATAACATCATCTGAAAACATTTCCGGGGGCTGAAAGTCATCTACCACCATCGCGCGAGCTTGTTGCCGTTCGCGGAGCGAACCTCGCCTAACGTGTTGTGATTAAGGATGCAAAGCCAAGGTGGCCACGCGAGTCCGATTCCATTCGCGGGTCGAAGCTCGCCCGAGAATGTCTTCAAAATCCCACAACGCATCTCCGAAAAAAATCCCAGGGGCGAACACATCCACATACCATCGACGAAACATGTGCGAATTGCTCCAAAGGCCGAACACATCTACATCTCATATACGGCATCTCTGGGCAGCGAAAACAGGTAGAACACATCTACGAAGTATTTCCAGGTAGGAGAAAACATGTACACGGCATCTACGCAGCAGGTCCGGGGGGCGAACACGTCTACATAACATGTCAAAGCATCTGCGAAGCATCTCCGAGCCATTTCCTGGGGTAATCAACCCACGCTGCATGGGCTCGTCGCACCGGCTGAATTCGCGAGTGTGGCCAGAAGTCACCGTCGGCGGTCCGTTTTCGACAGCGCCGAGGTGGTGCGTGTCTCTTTGGGGGGGAGGTTGGCGTCGCGGCCATCGCATCGCCGGCCGCCGCGTTGGGCGATTCTCTTTTTTTGGGGGGCCAGACGCAGCTTCCAGAGCGAAGCGCAGTTCAAGCTCGGCGCCCTGACAAGCAGAAGGCCCTGCAGAGCGGCCGGGCGTCGGGCAGATCCCCTGCGGCCCGTCTCGGAGGCGGCCGTGTCGATGTTGTGTGTGTGGGAGGGAGGAGGAAGGAGGAGAAGGAGGAGGAAAAGAAGGAAGGAGGAGGAGGGAGGAGGGAGAAGGAGGAGGAAAAGAAGGGAGGAGGAAGGAGGAGGAGGGAGGAGAGGAGGAGGAGAGGAGAGGAGGGAGGAGGAGGAGGAGGAGGAGGGAGGAGGAGGGAGGAGGGAGGGAGGAGGAGAGGAGGGAGGAGGGAGGAGGAGGAGGGAGGAGGAAGGGAGGAGGAGGAGGAGGAGGGAGGAGGAGGAGGGAGGAGGAGGAGGAGGAGGGAGGAGGGAGGAGGGAGGAGGGGAGGAGGGAGGAGGGAGGGAGGAGGGGAGGATGAGGGAGGAGGGAGGAGGAAGGGAGGAGGGAGGAGGGAGGAGGGGGAGGAGGGAGGAGGGAGGAGGGAGGAGAGGAGGAGGAGGAGGAGGGAGGAGGGAGGAGGGAGGGAGGGAGGAGGAGGAGGAGGGAGGGAGGAGGAGGGAGGAGGGAGGAGGAGAGGAGGAGGGAGGAGGGAGAGGAGGAGGAGGGAGGAGGGAGGAGGGAGGAGGGGAGGAGGAGGGAGGAGGAGGAGGGAGGAGAGGAGGAGGAGGAGGAGGAGGAGGAGGAGGAGGAGGAGGGAGGAGGAGGAGGAGGAGGAGAGGAGGAGGAGGAGGAGGAGGAGGGGAGGGAGGGAGGAGGAGGAGGAGAGGAGGAGGAGGAGGAGGAGGTAGGAGGAGGAGGAGGAGGAGGGAGGAGGATGAGGAGGAGGAGGAGGAGGAGGAGGGAGGAGGAGGAGGAGGAAGGAGGAGGAGGAGGAGGAGGAGTGTGTGTGGGGGGGGAGGCCTCCCCGGGCCACGCGCCGCGGCCTTTGGCAGGCCCGCCCTCCGCTCGCGGAGCTGCTGCAGACTTTTATCTCAGGAGGGGGAACAAACACACAGAGGAGGAGGAGGAGGAGCAGGAGGAGGAGGAGGAGGAGGAGGGGGGAGGAGGAGGAGGGGGAGGACGAGGAGGAGGAGGAGGAGGAGGAGGAGGAGGAGGAGGAGGGGAACAAAAACGACTCCCAGGAAAATATGGGGAAATATGGGACGCGGGGGGGGAGACAAAAAACCCGAAAATACAGGAACATAGGGGGAATCCTTTTGTTTGTGTGTATTTCTTTGCGTGTCCTGGGGCCCCTTCATTTTAAGGCGAATGTGCGCGGCGCTTTCGCGAGAGCCGCATAAAAAAATCGGCTTCCATCCTCGCAGCAGTAGTCGCAAACGTTCAGGGCGAACGCGCGCAGCGCTACGGCGCCGCGAGCCGCATCTTGGAAACGGCCCGCCCTCCATCCGCAAACCGGCTGCCGAATCTTCAAACGGATGTGCGCGGTGCTTTCGCGAGGGCCAT